TATCAGAGATCACATATTTAGAGTCTTCATTTGCATTTATTATCAAGTAGTGCTACTTTAATCTTGAGAGAAGGCAAAAAAACAATGTGGATTTCACAAGTAACTGCTAAGTATGGGCCAGTTGGTGGCACGGCTTGTGTCTGAAGGAAAGTTGGCAGCTCATTCAAAAGAAAAGTGTGGTGGGTGAACTTACTCATCACATTGGCTCAAGGCACACCAAACCCAGAAGACCAGAAATGCAACAATCAGAGTCACATTCAAGGTGCAAGAGATTTGGTTTCAGTAAAACAATATTTTACATTGTATTAATGTTATGAATTTGAATTTTTATTTTGGAGCTCTTTGAATTTAATTTATAAAAGCTCTGTTTTATAGTTGCATAAGAGATACAAGTCTAAGGATTTTATATCTGCCCATATAAAATGACATTATAATTTTTTAGAAATTAATTTTTAAAATTAAATCAATCCTGGAGGGCCACAGAATTTTTTTTCCTTTAAAAGGAGACTATTTTAGCCTCTTGTCCCCTGCCTCCATCTCATTCTTCTAGGATCTCCCAAAGAGTTAGTTCACATGGCCTTAAAACCAACCCAGTCACTGTAGCAGAGAGTTCTCCGCATTGCTCATTTCCCTTCTGCCTTCCCAGGCGAAGCCCATAGCTCTCAAAACTGCCTGAAGAAGACTCTTTTGTTAGGCTTCCAGAGTCCCTGTCAAGGATGTCACTTTCCATGTGCAGGGAGATGTTGGCCTCTTTCCAGCAGGCCCTCTAACCAGCTCAGCACCATCCTGGGCCCAAAGTCTTCCTTCCTGTGCTCCAAGTTCCCCCAAATCCGGAAGCAGCCCCTCAGCTCACTTACTATTCTAAGGAACTCAGAACCATTCCCTGGCCTTCATCCTCCAACCAAACATGCACTCCTAGTTTCCATACCACCGCTACCTTCCCACTTCCCTAGGAGTTAGTGCACACTGAACTCAGAAACAACCTCCCCTCCTCCTCTTCCTCAGCCCCTACCCCCAAAGAATAAAAGGCTACAAAAACACAGCTTTCACTCAACCATCTTGTTGTCAAAGTGCACACTTAGTTTCTCACACTAAAATAATCATCTTCATTTCAGATGTGCAAAATTTCCTCCCAAATTGACCTTGACTGAAACAAAGAAACCAACTAAAGGAAGATATGGAATTCAAGAAGCAGAGAATCCAACACAGGACAGAGATGGAGGGAATGCCAAGGAAAACGGAGAAGGGAAACAGGTCCACATCTGTGCAGCAGGCAAGGAGAGCAATCAGCCCAGGCTGGGGCTGGAGGACAGAGGGCCAGGGGAGAGGTGCCCCCAGCAACGGAAAACACAACAAGCCAGAGCAATGCTAGATTTCCTCATAAGTCTGACCTCAGGAAAATTAGGGAAGATTTAGCCATGGGTACAAAGAAAGGTAAGCAAATGAAAAAATAAGGCACTGAACTGCAGGAAAAATTAAAAGTTGAACTCTCCCCCCAAAAGGAATTGTAGTCATGGTACATTAGTAGCTATCAGAAAACAATATTTATATAGTAATAATATGTAAATGCTAAAAATGAATTTAACCAGAAGTTGGTAATTTGGGTGGGAATGATAGAGATTCTAGGGTAAATGACAATCTATCATAATAGGAAGTTAATCATTACTCTTTTGAGAGAGGAGTACAAGCATGGAAATGGGGAAGTATATTCCAAAAGAGACACATATGAGTTGTAAGTAGATGAATCTAGGAAACAAAGCAGCGTCCTGAGAAGGGGGTAAGGCACCACTAAAACCTTGACATTGCTATTTGACCTGTTTGATTATATGCTTGTTTCAATCCAATAAGAACAAAAATCAAGTGTTAAAAATGTGTCTTCAGATTAAAGATGACTTCCAGGTGTCTACAAGAATGAAGGGGTAAGTATTTACTTACGTTTCTGAAGGTTCCATTCAGATTATTTTCTCCCCCCCAAAAAAAGGAGAGGGGGGAGGAAATAATACTTTCATATTGAAATCTTGCTTCTAGATAAAAAGTGCTTAGTGCTTTGTAAAGACAGAGTTGGATTAGAGCTTTGTTTTGTGTTTTCAACATCTGCCCAAGTGTCAAAATTCTTAGGGCATTCTATGACACGTAAGTTTCCAGATAATGAACCCTGATGGCATCAACAGTCTCATATTTGTATCACATAGTGAGCCCTCCATGCTGGTGAGAGAAAATTAAAGAAGCACTTCAAAATAAAATAGTTCTTAGTTTCCAGTTCAGCAGTGACCTTTCTTGCATTTTCATGCAGACACTTCCCACCTCTTCTTCACTGTTCCAAGATCCCAGGCGGTGGCAAGAATGAAATTCAGCGCTCAGGAAGCACTTCCTGCCTTCAGCAGAATGAGAAGGGTCCTCTCCTTCCCTGGAAAGTTCTTGGATTTGGAAGGAACTTATCCAGAGGTGCTTTGAGGCAAGAGGAGAGTCTGTAACATCATTTGTAGCAGAAAAAAGTTTGCATTTTGATCTTTGTGGAGCTGTACTCCTTAGAGAACCAGGTTGAATCTTTGCTACCTGCTGGGCCCGAGGGAGGGGCAATTTTCTCATCGGACAAGTGGGGAAATAGCCTCTACCTCCACCTCTTTTGCAGGCCACTGGGAGGACTGCAAGTGAAAATGGATAAGAACGTGCCAAAGTACTGTCAACTAGTTATTATCCAGTAAGTCAGGCATAATAGACACTAGGGACTCATTCAGTTAGCCAGTCACTCAACAAATATTAAGTGAAGAGTTGCTATGCATCAGGCAGATGCAATCTGACTCTTGCTTAAAGGGGTTAACCGCTGGGGAGGAAGTCTAGCCAGTGTGTTTCACACCAGACTGTGCAGACCTACTGCCCTACCTCCAAAGACAGTCTTCCCTACCTTCTCAGATTTCCTGCACCTTTCTCTTCCATGAGCTGCCTGCTTTTCACCCTCACCCTGCATCCACCCCAGAGCTCTAAACTCTGGTATCTAAGAGAGATGTATGGGCATGCTCAACATGCAAATCACATTCACATTGGGCTCAGGGCACACTGAACCCCTCCCCACCTTTCCCTCCATCTAATCTAGACCCTACAGACTTGGGGAACCCTGGGGCAGAGGAGCTTAGGAAAGCCTGGTGCTTAGCATTTGGGTCAGCACCAGAGTAGGACAGGATCTAAGGCCAACTCTCTCCCCTCCTGCAGCAACCTTTGAGTCTGCTCAGTGTTGCCCTGTCCTTGGTGCTGGGGACTGTCAGGAATCAGCTCAGGTCCTTGCTGCACCAGCTGCCAATTTAACAAAGAGGTAAGACAGGGGGCATAGCTGATGGTGCAGGGCCCAGCTCCGGAAGTATGGAGAGGGGTGTGTGGTTCTGCAGCCTGGTCCCACTCTTTAAATAGAAAGCTTTTTAAAGTGAGCCCCCAGCCTTAGCCCAATGCCTTTTCTCCAGATTGCTGTGCATACTAATCACCAGCAAATTTTGTTAAGATGCAGAATCTGATGATTCAGTGGGTCCGAAGTGGAGCCTGAGATTCTGCATCTCTAACAAGGTGATGCATTTCATCTCAGGAGTTTGTGAAGGTCCATGTACTACACTTTGAGTTCAAGGCTATAGAGCACTTATCTCATTTCGTTGAGGAGTGATTGGTAATGTCTCTTCCCCTAAGCACCATGAGGCAAGGATCTTGCCCATTTGTTTAGTCCTGTATTTATTTCCAAAGACAAGCACAGTACTTGGCACATTCAGTAAGTACTTGGAGCCCTGGCCTGTATAGCTCAGTTGGAGCATTGTCTCGTGCACTGAAGGGTTATGGATTCAATTCCTGGTCAGGGCATATACCCAAGTTGCAGGTTCAATCCCCAGTCTGGGAGCGTATGGGAAGCAACCAATTGATGTTTCTCTCTCCCTCTCCCTTCCTCTCTCTCTAAAAAAATTATTAAAAATATGTCCTTGGGTGAAGATTAAAATAATGATCATCATCATAATAAAATAAGTACTTGGAGGAGTGGCCAATGCTCCCTTATCCATGGGAGCTGGCAGTACCCACACAGAGCAGACAAACCCACTGGCCAGATACACTCATGTGCACACCTGTTTCATTTCCACCAGCCTTTGGGATACAGCAGGTGATGGCATTTACTGGGCCTACTATGTGCACAGCTATGGTTAATCCCATCCTAATCCTATTTCATGAACCTCTGCCTGATGCTTCACAAAGGGCTCACACTGTATGACAACCAAAGATTCTGAACAAAGCTCACCCACTACCTCCCCTGACCACGCCCCCAGCACACTGAGCCCGGAGAAAGCTTTCTTCTTTCTTTTTAACCAAACAAGCTTTAATTTAAAAAACAATAACCTAATGAATCAGTCCTAAGTATTCCAGATGGTGGGTAGCCCACTAAGTAAATCTCGAAGAACTGTCCTCAGGACCTGGAACAGTGCGGGTGTGTGTGTGTGTGTGTGTGTGTGTGTGTGTCCCATTAAGAAACTGAGAACAGACAAGTAGGTGGGGTTGGGGCTCACACTTGTGGGAAATGAAGGGAAGAGAACGAGGGAGCCATGAATCCAGGAATATGACTAATGTGCTGTAAAAACACGAGAGAAGGTTGAAGAAGTAAGGAGCCAGTTGGGGAGGCAGCTTGAGATCGAAGGCCTGTAATTCACCAGAAACCTGGGGTGCAGGCTCATGGATGGTGATCTGCACCGACAGGGGTCCAACCACAGCGCTGGGGGAGCGCGCAGATGGGGGCTCACAGTGGAAGAAGAAATGAGGGGTTCACATATTGGGGTGGGGGGGTTCAATCCGGTGGAGAGATGGTGGGATTCTCCGCACGGGTGGGAGACAAAGAAAGAGGTAACACGTGTGCTCAGTCCAAAAGGCAAACATGGGGAGCTGGAGGTGTGCCCAAACCAAGAGGAGGAGAGGTGCCTGCAGGCGCCCAGTCCTGGGGGCGACGGGACCCCAGGCGACCCCCGCTGGTGGGGAAGGGCTCACAGGTAGCGCTCCAGTCCCGGCGCGTAGGCCGGCGGCTTCAGGTAGGCCTCCCCGGGGCCGAGCGCGCCCAGCGGGCCGAGCACGCCCGGCGGCCCCGCCAAGGCCAGCAGCGGCTCGGCGGGGAGCGGGCCGGGCCCGGGGCGCGCGGCGGGCAGCCCCAGGCGGTCGGGCGCGGGCGCGTAGAGCGGCGGGGAGGCGGCTGCGCAGGGCGGGAAGGCGGCGTCGAGCGCGGCGCAGCAGGGCGGCTCGGGGGCGCCCAGCCCCGCCAGCTCGGGCGGCAGGCTCACCAGGCTGTCGACGCTGAAGAGGCGGGCGGGCGGCGCGGGCGCGGGCGCGGCGGGGGGCGGCGCGAGCAGCCCGGGCCCGGCCGGGAAGGGCGCGTAGGGGGCGGCGGGCGCGGGCGCGGGCGGCGCGGGCAGCTCGGCGCGCTTGAAGCGCTTGCGGCGCCGCAGGAAGCTGCCGTTGTCGAACATGTCGGCGGCCGCCGGGTCCAGCGTCCAGTAGTTGCCCTTGCCCGGGTTGCCCGGCTCGCGGGGCACCTTGACGAAGCAGTCGTTGAGCGTGAGGTTGTGGCGGATGCTGTTCTGCCACTTGCGCGGGCTGTCGCGGTAGAAGGCGAAGCGCTCGGTGATGAAGCGGTAGATGGCGGCCAGCGTGAGCCGGCGGCCCGGGGCGTGCGCCAGCGCCATGGCGATGAGCGCGATGTACGAGTAGGGCGGCTTCCCGCGCTGCAGCGGCCGCCGCCGCCGCCGGCCCGGGCCCGGGGCGGGCTCCGGCTCCCCGCCGCCCGCGCCCGCCGCCTCGGGCTCCGGCCCGGGCTCCGCTCCGGCGAGCGGCGACGGCGGCGGCCCCGACGGCGCGACCGAGGGCAGGGCCGGGAAGCCCGCGAAGGCGGCAGGGGGCTCCATGTCGCCGCGGCCAGGCGTCGGGAGGCGGCAGCCCTGCCCGCGCTGCGCTGCTCAGAGAGAGCGGGCCGCTGACCCACCTTATATGGACACAGCCCCCCTTCCCCGCCCCCTGACCAGGGCACAAGGCTCGGACCTTCCCGGCCGGCAGCGCCTCCCCCGACTTTGCTTTCCCTATCTCCTTACTGAGCTCCCAGCCCCTCCCGTACACCGTGCTGCCCCTCCCTGGGCCCCCTCCCTTTGGGTCTGCCTTGGCCAGACCCAGCCTCATCCCTTTCCCTGTCCGCTGGGTCGGTCCCTGGCCCTGACCCACAGAATTCATCAGCGCCCTTTCTTTTAAGATCTCCCTCAACCTCCTCCCTTTGGGATCAGTGCCAATCACAAATCCACCTATTCATCGCACTCTCTGGGCCCCCTCCTCGTTTTGTTTCTACCGGCTGAGTCCTGTCCCCGACACCCTTCTCTCCTGGCCTCCTCCCTGTCCTTCAAACACCAGCTGGGGCAGAGATGAGCGCGCCCAGGGCCGCCTTGCCAGCCTGCAGCATCCTAACGCTGTGCTGGTCAGGGACGGTCAGGCCCACACCCCGACATTAGGCAGTGGAGAAGGGTAGGATGGGGAGGGGGAAGGGGGGGGGAAGCTGGCTTTGTCTCAGGGGAGGATGTTTGGTGGCTCCAAGGTCACCATCCCCTTTCTCTTCTGTTCCCCCCACAACCCTGACCCATCCAGGACACCTGTGAACATCCTTTGAAAAGTGGCAGAAGACTGCTTTAAATCAAGAGACCCGAAAATCCTTAACTTGGAGTTGCCTTTCTGGCTGCCTCTTCTCCATGGCCCTTCTGTTCTAGGAAAGGGCTCCCTTGCCCATGCACACACAGTATGCGCACTGGGAAGATGCTCGGAACACAGGTCTGCACAGCCTAACGTGCCAAGGCGCAGGTACTGGTCAGAGAGAGACCCCCCAAGTGCTTCCACAGACTGAAGGTCTGAGAACACTGCTTACTGACACAGAAACACTACACTCACACCTCAGAATCATAGCCGTTTATTAAAAATTCACTGTAGGGCCTTGGCTGGTTTGGCTCATTAGCCCGCGGACCAAAGAATGGGGGCTTCGATTCTGGTCAAGGGCACATACCTTGTACCTCAGTTGCGATTTGGTCCCTGGCCCTGGTTGGGGTCCAGGAGGCAACCAGTCGATGTGTCTCTCTCACGTTGATGTTTCTCTCTCTCTCTCTCTCCCTCCCTCCCACTCTATCTGAAAATCAATGGAAAAATATCCTCAGGTGAGGATTAAAAATAAATAAATAAATAAATAAATAAAATGTAAAAAAACTAACTCTGGGTAGTGCCACTCGCCACCATCATCCAGCGGTGAGGCTACCCTGAACCTATTTCAGGAAACCTCTCTAAAGTAACAGGAGAGCCAGCCCTGGCTTGGAGGAAACCAAAGGGTAAAAGAGCCTTGTCTTAAAGAGGCTCCTCCTGGGCATCGGCAAGATCAGGGGAGCAGGGCTGGGGGTAGGACAGGCAAGTAGCATTCCCAAGGCCTAAATTGTGGTGCAGTGCAGGATCAGTACCCCAGAGCCATAGCCTCCTTAAATTTGGGGCCCTAGGTGCCTCACCCCAGTTCTGGTCCTGATGTGGAATGCCCCTGGTTACAGCAGGCCTATGGCCTAGGGCATCAAAATTCACACTTAAGGCTCAAGGGCCTCCCTCACTCAGCTCCAGTCTCAGAGCTGATAATATAACAGAGCTGATAATATAAAATGCTCATTACTGAGCATTTTACGTGCGGTAAACACGGTATACCTTATCTCACTTAAGTGTGAACACCTTGTGCGTTTGGCAGATGAGGAAACTGAAGCTCTGAAAGGTTGAGTGACTTACCTGACCTCACACAGCTAGCAGCAGAGCTGGAGTTAAACCCAGAGTTCAGAGCTCCAGCAACATGACTTTTCTAAAAGCATCATATTTTAAAGCTGAGACTGTAGAGATAATTTACTACAGAGTTTTCCCAGCCCTCACAACTTTAGCTGCAAAGTTGGTCCCTAGCCTCTGTCCTGACTTCTAGGTCAGCATATTCCAAGTATCTACTGCACATTACCCTCACCCTAGCGTACCCCCCAATCCCAACCTGCTCCCCTTCCTGCCTTCCGGATCTCAGCAAATGGACCCCTCGCCCCTCACCACCCAGATCAGAAATATGAACATCATCTTGGGCACCTCCCTCCCCCATCACTCCCACATCCAAGCAATCTCAAGTCCCATCAATTGTACATGGACTCCAAACCCACCCTCCTTCAGTTCTCCTGCCTCAGCTTAGCCCACATCATTCACCCAGCACTGGTGTGCCAGGCCCTTTGCCAGCGTTCAGGGAAGACAGAAATGAAGGGATTCACAGCCTGGTGGAGAGAGGGGCACAGACAATCACGGCTGTGAGAGAGGTGAGAGGGGGTGGAGGGGGCGGAAGGGGCTATCAAAAGAGAGAGGAAGGAGATGACACTGGGAGATCTATTTTATTTATTTATTTATTTTTTAAGTTACCATTTTCCCCTCTTATTTTATTTTATTTATTTATTTATTTGGTACATGCCCTTAGCGGGAACCGAACCCTGGACTCTCTGGTCCGCAGGCCAATGCTCCAACCGCTGAGCCAAACCACCAAGGCGACACTGGGAGATCTAAAGATAACCCCCCACCCACAACAGTGAAGAATCAGCCTGTTTGTACATGAACAGGTCCCACCTCATACCTTCTCCACCTTGGGTTCCACTACTTGAGCACAGGCCGAAAGAACACAAGACTGTTGTCACAGCAAACAGTTCGCGAAGAAGGCAAGATAAACAACTGCAGCAACGGGGTCCTGCTCCCAGAGCCGGGTGGCCTGGGGCCAGTCGCTCACTTGAGCCCCGGTTTTCTCACCTGCCAAATGGGGACAATAACAAACCCTCAGCACTATTATGAGACCGAAATGAGGTCGTGTATGAAAGGGACTGGCCCACACTGGCACTTGGTACTGGGAGATCCAGAATCAAACCAGAAGGGGAAAGAGAGGCAGAGCCAGAGAAGTGATTTCAGAGCCTGCATGTTTTCTTTTTCTTTTTTTATAATTTTTCCCCTTTATTCATTTTAGAGAGAGAGGGAGAGAGAAATAGACACATTGATGAGAGAGAACATTAACCAGCCACCACCTGCAGGCCCCCCACTGGGGATCAGGCCCATAACCTGGGCATGTGTCCTGACCGGAAATCGAACTGGCGCCCTCTTGGTGCATGGGTCGATGCTCAACCACTGAGCCACACCAGCCGGACAAGCCTGCGTGTTTTCAACGAGGTGGAGCATAATGCTGCAGTTAGACTCAGGCACAGAACAAGAGCTGCTATCTTGCCCTCCTTCCCTAGGGCCGAAGTCCCCTCTGAAGCCCCATCTCAGCCTCTCGCACACCTCCAAATTAGGGATGGGGGCATGGCTCTTATTATCTCCCATGGCAGACTGCAATTTTCTTATTCTTTCAATTTTCTGATTCATGTGCAGAGTCTGGGACATAGTATATGTTCAATAAATTATACTGAATATGCAGTTGGCTACACTAATCCTGGGAAGGGTGGGGGCAGGGAGCTGGGCCAAAGGGGTACAAATCCAGACTTTACCAGTTCTCTGTGCCTGCCTGGCCCCCTCCATTGGGCCTGCTTCCCAGAGCCAAGCAGGCCAGTGTCAGGGTAGCCCAAGGGCTAATTCGTGTTTTCAGCGTGGCTGGGCCCTCTTTTCACAGGCCCTGGGCCGGATGGGATGTGGCTGAGCATCCGGGCATAAGATGGCCAGTGAGGGCAGCCCCTTTCTCATGGGCCTGGATTCCAGGCGGCCCAGTGTCTGAGTGGAGCCCCTGGGGCGGGAAGAACACAGTGGCTGCTGGGCAGTTCTTTGTCTGACCATGCTGGGTGGATATTCAGACTGGCAGGAGGGATTAATGGCCAGGGATTGGCCCTGGGGCCGGCCTTCCCACTGCCCTTTGGAGGCCAAAGGCCCAGGTCAGGGCACACAGCATTGATGACTCCCTAGATAGGAGTGGAAATTCCCACCCTGTGCAAAGCTGCTAGCATTAGCCCTAAGGCTCCCTGCCCCCAGCCCCACCTCAACAGAGGCACCAGCGCCAAGATGAGCTTCACAGCAAGAAGAGGGAGGGAGCCAGAGCTTTCCAGCTGCTCTGCTGGGAGAAGGGGCTCAGGCTAAAAGTGGGCTCGGGCCTTTACTCCGAGGTGTGCAGCCCCTAGTAGAGCCCTGTGATTTCCCCTCCAGAGCACTGGGGAGAAGGAGCTGCGTTAACCCAACAGGAGCCAGTCTGAGCTGTCACAAGACCCCATTAGGCTTTCTGGAATATTCCTCAAACACCTCTAGTTTGAGACTGCTCCACTGTCATTTATTCCTAAAAGCCCCCATCATAGCACCCACTTATCCCATAGTCCTAAGGCTGCAGAGGGACTCGGGAAACAAAGGAAACCTCAGAGACACCCTCACCCATCCCCTGCCACCCAGGGACCCTGAGGGCTGCTGCAGGACCCCCACAACTAGAGCTGCCCAAGATACTGCCCTTCCTCAGAAGCCTGGGGCAGATAGTTCCAACCTGGCTGGGGGGCCTTTTCTAACCAGGCTGCTCCTGAGCTAGGAATGAAGGCAGCAGCCCCAGCCTTATCCTGTCCGCAGGGCCGGGCTCCTGTGGAGGGAGCGCCCTCTGGGCCACGGGTAGGCCTGCTTCTGGGGAGAGCATCAGGGAACAACCCGAAGGAGGATGGCTCTCCTTGTGACTCTTCATTCCTCAAGAGCATCCATTCAGCAAATCCTACGGATCTGTGTCCAGGCCACCCTGGGTGTGGGTCAGTGCTGAGTCAGACTTCTCTGCCTTCACTCAGCTCAGGCAGGGACAGCCACACAGTCACTCCCCATACCAGGTGGTCAGAGTGTAATATGGGCAGAGAAGGAACTTGCAGAGGCACGGGAGAGGGACCTCACTCATCCTGGTGAAGTCAGGAAGACTTCCTGGAGGAGTAAAGCTCCAGCTGGCCAGGCTGCTCTAAGGGCTTCATCTCTGTGCTCCCATCACATCTCCATCACTGACTGCACTTACCTTATTGACTCTTCGTGTGTCTGTCTTCACACCAGACTCCGGTACTATATCTCAGTATAGTGCCTAACACAAGTTGATGGTCAATAAATATGTATCAGACAGCTGGAAGGACAATTGGACACCAGGACAAGAAAACTGCGAATACAAAAGTCTGAAGGCAAGAGAGGATGTGGTTCACCCTGGGAAGTGTAAGACTTTCAGTGTTTTTCCACTAAGAATGAGCTAATATATGTAAAGTTCTCAGGACAGTGCGCAGCACATACCAACGCTGTGTAAGTGTAGGCTGTTGTTGTTGTTGTTACTATTATTATTCACTGTGGCTAATGTAGAGGGTCAAGGAACCCAGACAAAGAAGGTAGATGGGGTCAGATTGTAGATGACTTTATTTGCCAGCCTAAGGAGCTCAGATCTTTCTAGAGATAACAGGGAGCCTTTGAAAACTCTTCAGCAGGGGAATGACATGATCCCATCCCTTGTTTAGATCAGTGTGGCCGGAGAGGGAAGACGCTAGGGGCTGAGAGAGCAGAGGGGAGGCTGAACCTGTGGTGAGCTGTGAACCGAGCTCTGGTTCTGGGGGAGCACCAGACCCTCCGCTCCCATCCACTACAGACCAGAACAGAGGGAGGACCTCCAGCCATCCAGTTCACTTTGTCACAAGTCCAAGAACTGGCCATCATTCTCTCCTTTCTCTCTCTCCGACCACCTCCAGTCACTGAGACCTGTCAGTTCTCAGAAATTTCTCTCAAATCCATTCTCTTCTCTTGTCCCGTTTCAGTCCTTGTTCAGGCCGATATCCCTACTCACACTGCCTCCTGGCTGGGCTCGCTGCCTGGCCCTCTGATTCCTTTTCTGCTCAGCAGCTAGCATGATGTTACAGCTACTGAAACATCATTGTGGCTCCTCATTATCTCAGGAGTCAGACCAAGTCATTAACACGGCTGGCAGGCGCCGCACAACCTGACCTGCAGCCCCTCCTGCCTCATCCTGCACCGGCCCCCGGTGCCCTGCTTCCGCTAAAACACACAGGGTCTCTACAGAGTTACTTTCAACCAAAGGCCAGGTCCCCTCTCCTTCCGAGCCTTTATTAACACAAATGAGCACAACCCATTTTGCCAGCTCTACCTACCAATACAGCCTGGTAGGTATTTCTCCTACCAGCCCCTTGCTCTCCTAAGGTCTTCATTCACAAGGAGTCCATCTGTCCCTCTGAGAGTAACCTCCACACTGTCAAACAAATAACAAGCAGCCTTGCCAGAGTGGCTCAGTTGGCTGAGCATTGCCCTGTGCACCGAAAGATTGCCGGTTCAATTCCTGGTCAGGGCACATACCGGGTTTGTGGGTTCAATCCTTGTCGGTGTGCATACAGGAGGCAACTGGTTGATGTTTCTCTCTCTAAGCATATCCTTGGATGAGCATTAAAAAAACAAAACAGCCCTGACCGGTTGCTCAGTGGTTAGAGCATCGGCCGCAGTCCAGAGAGACCCAGGTTTGGTTCCCACTAAGGGAACGTACCTCGGTTGCAGTTTGTCCCTGGCCCCGGTTGGGGTTGTGTAGGTGGCAGCCAGTTGATGTGTCTCTCTCACATCAATGTTTCTTTCTCTCTCTTCTTCCCTCTCTCCCTCTCGCTCTATCTGAAGATGAATGCAAAAATGTCCTCAGATAAGGATAAATTAAAAAAAAACACACACACACACACAACAAAAAAAAACAAGTGAACAAAAACCCTGAGGGTTTCCCATCAAGATGCAAAGAAGGAATTCAGCCCTTCTCCCACCTGGCCCTCTGCCAGGAGCTCCAGTCTTCCCTGGCCTGCCTGTTGTACTCCTCCATGTCCT